TTTGAAAAATATATTTTTAGAGATATTTTGATGCAGGGATTTCGAATTCGAGGTTAGTTTTTTAAGATTTTCTTATCCCTCATTTTTTTACACAAAGGATATGTATTTACGAAAAAAGTTTATTGGATACGGTGGGTGTGAGTATTCGCTTGTTCGACATGTGTTTAAAAACTATTTCTGGCAGATTGAAAAAAATCCGATTTAAACGGGACGAGAACGAGCACCGATTTTAGAAAGCGAGATCGCTATCGGGATGAGAATACCCTCACCCAGCCGGTTCCTCTTTGATAGCTATAATCGGATTTTTTGGTAAAATTTAAATAAATAGTTTTAAAAAAGGTAATAGCTGTTGAAAATTCTGCAGTTGAGTTGTCGTTAATAACAACTGTGCAATAAAATTCATAACAAATCAAGATCTTTCCTATGGGACAATGTAATATACTGTATTCGTAACAGTTTTCAACATAGTTTTCCTTTTCTTAGTTTCTTCTGAAGAATCATAGTATCAAATACTCAATATCCTTCTAAGAAAAATTCAGACGAAATGCACCTCTTCACTTCAAAGCAAAAATAATAGTGGAGGAAATAGTAGGGTTAAACATGGAAACGGCTAGCGGTGAGTGGCCGACCGAAGGGAGGCCGACGAATAGGTAGACGTTAGTTTTAAAGGTTGTTTTAAAGCACAGCTTTGAAATGAGTCTTAGTTAGTTCAAATGGTTTTTTGAGAGCACTTAATGAGTACTAATGTGAGAAAGAATCCGGCAGCATATCGTTGTGTCAGAATAAAAAGAAATTGGAAACCATGATGAACAATACGTAGTGCTATCTAAAAGTTGGAAGTTTTCGATTGCGAATCGATATGTTATGAGTGAAATAGTTTTGATGCACGTGAAAAATCTTAATGTAACAGATGATAGATAGAAAAATGTAGCATAATTTGGTAACGGCTAGCCGTGAGTGGCCGACCGACTAGGCGTTGATTTAAATGGTTTGTCCTAAGTGTAGTAAGTGAGATTTGTGTTTTTTTGCGAAACTGTTAAGTCATTCGGTTCTTGAGCTAAAAAGAAATCTTAATTACACATTTGACCTAACAACACCTATTCAGTAAAGGACTTGTGAATGCAAACATGGCATTATTTGCTTGTTGTGGCGCGAGCAGGAATAGATATGCAGTTGTACGACCCTAAAAGGTTTTAAGAGCTGTTCGGGATTGTCTCATTTTAAATGAATTATTTTTTTTCGTATAGTCGTGGTTCGGGGTGAGCCGAAACATATAGCAGTTTAGTTATTCTATTAAACTTGCTGAATACACTTTGGACAGAGAATCAATTTTTTTCATAACATCAATTTTCCTGATTGTTCGGGAATAGTAAGGTTGCTTTGCTAAGATAACTTTAAAAGTGTAAGAATTCTCGAATATACAACGTCACAAATCCTTAAACTCTTTGAATCAAGTCAGTTTTTCAAAAAATGAGATATACGGCTGCGACTGATCGTTTATTCCTCTAATTAAACATGAACTATGGTCGATTAAGATTTTATGATGAGAGCCTGTCCAGGTTTCTTTTGTTAATATGTATTCAAAATGAAAATCATTTTTAATGATAATCATAGGAAATCTTCTTTCAGAAAAGGGTCAGCGAATCCATCGGATGAGCGTTACTTGTGTAATAAGACTGTATATTAGAACATCGATCCATTTCGATATTTATTTGAAATATTTTAAAAAAAATACATATAGAAACGTCATAAAATTCTATACAATGAAATTTAACCTTAGTTAACTTACGTATCCTATTGTTAGAATAAAAATATAAATAGAATAGTCTAACAGAAATTAAAAAGTGGTTTGACGAACAAATGATTAGTGTTATTTAAGAATTTTATTTTACTTCAATATTAAAAATTTCAAAGTTTGGAATAGTTCAAAAGAAAATTGAACAAAAAGCCAAGACATATAATAAGCGACAATGCGAAAATTTTGGTAATAATTAAATTTATATCTTCTTTTGTCCAAAAAAAGGAAACAATTCTCCATCAGCATATAAAGAGATTTAAATGTACTGAATAAATTTCATGAAAGGATGTGCGTCTTTATCTAGGTTTGTAAATGACGGAATTCATTTTACAGTACATTCACCCTGCATCCTATAAAATTTTTAGATTAACCAAAATCTGTGATCAAAACGTTGCTTATGGTATTAAATGTAATAATCCTATTATTACATATGAAAATCTTTATGTAAAATTTATAGAATGCCAGGAAAAAGTTTCTCTTTACGGTCGAAATAAAACATGGTTACAAGTATGTGTTCAAAAAGTTTGCACTTGACTCACATAATGTATCTTTCAGGTAGCTGAGCATCATAAATGAGTTTCAAAAGGAAGTGTAAAATTATTCGTTTCTCAATGTGATGTATGTTGTAATAGAAGATTATTTCCAAAATCATCAGCTGGTATGTTAGGGTTATTATGAGAATAACAATAAATATATTGCTATTTATATTTAAGAAAAATCGATCCTGTCAGTTGGACAGCTAGCTCGTCGACAGATAGATTTGATAGACATGCGCAGTATACCAGATGGAAAATGTAAATGGATTCTTCATGCGAGAGACCATTTTACGAAATATTCATGGGGTTATCTGTTAAAGACCACAAAGCCGAATCGGCTACCGAAATTGCTATTACAACAGTTTACTTATTTGGAGAGCCACAAATTTTTCAGAGCGGGCATAGGTTCCCGTGTAGATATTTGATTAATGGCATTCATGTCACAGCTCATCCACGTTCACAACCTCAAGATGATAAATTTAGTCGTAAACGTCTGAAAACGATGCATTTTAGATGGTCTGAATGATCGACCTGGAGTATATATAGACATATCAATCACGGCTGATAGTAGTAATAATATTCATCATTCTGGTTTTAGTGAGTGTTAATAAGATTTTGTTTCAAAAATATTTTACTTTTTAATTATTCTAGGGTCTAGTGGTTCTCAGGTTGGAAGAGACCATTTCATTCGATGATGTCAATATTCAACAAATAAAATATAATTTAATAATTCTAATTATTTAGACCAATTCAGGGTTTTATTATTTTATTGAAATCGAAAGAATTTAATACGTTAATAAGAAATTTAGTGAAAGACTCCGGTCTTGATGCGATATATTTGTTTACACGAGTACATAGATGTTTTCTTTTTCGGTTGTTATTTCTGATAATGGCATGTGTAAAATGTCGAAAGCTTGAATAATAAATTGATTATTTTGCTAAGAAATTTTATCATGTTCTTCGTAGTAGCGTTATACTCGTTTATCTCTCATAATACCCAATACTATGATGTACAAGTTTGTTTTATTTTTAATATTTCAAAATATTATCCATTACTTATAATAAATAGGCGAGAGTCAATGTATCGGATAGAGTTTATGCAATGTATTTTTTTAAATTAAATCTGAAAAGAGTAGAAAGCGTTAAAGACTAGAGAGAAAGAATAGACTTAGAAAGGATTGTGATTAGTAAAACTAATAGAACCAATGACGATGACTTTATCGTCTTTAAATCAATCTATTGAAGTTGATGAAATGTGCGAAGTCAGTTATTTTGTTCTTCAGTTTTAGAGAAAACATCGTTGATTACTGACTATAAATTAAAATAAATTAACAAATCTTTTAGTTTTTTTTCGAAACTGTAATTCCTAAGTATTTAAAATTATTTTTTAATAGTGCAATTTTAATAGATCTCAAATAATGAATCTTTTAAAAAAATATATCCGGATTTGAAAGCGTCTTTGAATAGAGACATATGCAAGAGAAAATTTGTTGTAAAACTCTTTCTTCATTCGATAAATGCATTTAATGAATGAAATATATTAATCGAATGTAATTAATTATAATTAGAGTTTGTCTGTATCTTTAAAAGTAAATAATAATGTGAGACAATAGTGCACCTTTTATTATGTAAATACAACAACAATCACAGAAAATTATTTTATATTAATATTATACATTGAATATTCTTGAAAACTTCTAACAAAAAATACAAGACAACATAAATAGTAGATCCTTTGAAACAGTTATTTCTTCGCTAATGGATTTATTATTTGTGCATGTGTATTATGCTTCAAATTCCCTATAATGGTCACTTTCATTTGATTGTTATGAAATATATTTTTCATTAGTAATTTGAATTCCGTACGAAATAATGTTGAAGTCAGACAATGTATATAAAAATTTATCTAGAAATCAACCGAAAAGATACTATATCGTTAAAGAATTATTGTAAATACTTACTGCATAATTCAAACTTTGTACCCAACCTAACGCTGTCCAGATAATAGTAATATCAATAAGCACAGGTTGTATATATACAACTTGTGATACAATAATTTTGGATATATTTATTGGTAGATTAGTGATACAGAATATACAATTACTTGCAAACATAAGAATAAGCATTTGTTTATGCATTTGCTTTTGTCGAATCATATTTTGATTACCATGTATAGTTTGAGTTGGTTGAATAATCGCTCGTTTTCTTAGATAAATATTAATAAATATAGCAATAAGAGTCATTAACATAAAACTAACTGGTCCCACACAAGTTGTAAAAATCTAAATTACAACAAATGTAATTATCTTTCTATTTGCTAAAGATGATTTAAGTTAAATCTCTTTTCTTTTCATTATTAGAAAAACAAGTATAAGTTGTAAAGGACGTTTTTACCCAGCTCCCATCAAATAACTTCAAGGTATTGATTGCTTCTAAAAAATTCTATTTACCTGAATCATACTCCATTGTATGTAATAAAATAAGAAATATGGCTTATCCGTGAAATAATTTGGTCCACATGAACCATATGCTAAGCCTGGTATATCTATTCCAAACATTGGAGTCAACATATGAGAATTTAAACCTATATCGATAACAAGTAATATAATTACAGCTATCAAAGCATTTTTTGGTGTACAGATTGAGCCTGATTTAAATGGGAATTGTGTTCGAATCCATCGATCAATAGCAATTATAACTAATATCCATGCTGATGCTACTTGCGATACATTCATAACAAAATAGCGAAAACGACAAAATTCACTATAGGCAATATGAGGATAGAATGGAACCTATAAAAATATAGACAGAAACAAAACATTTAATTTTTTTAAAATTTTTATATAATAATTATTACTTTGAAACCAAATTCAAGATAATCAAATACACACATGAGCAAATATAATGTATCGAATATAGCTAAGATAATAAATAAACATCCAGTTGATACTTTTCGTAATGTTGGTCGTGAAAATGTTAATAAACTAGCAGTATTACCAAGAAAACCAAGTATAAACGTGAATGTATAACCGATCTGATAGAATCGTATAACAGTCAATGGATTGGTATATAAACTATAATATTCTTCCAAAGAAGATGACATTATTGTATTGTAAAATAAATGTCAGAATCTCTGGTGTATATATTTGAAAACTTCTGAAAACAAAAGTGAAGACAGGATAAGTATTATATATATAATGCCGCAAAAAATTCAATCTTTGTTTACCTAAAAGATAATTGCATAAATAATAGAGTATTATTAGAAAATTAATTTCAAGATCATGTCTATAACATTATTTTTTAATTGCACCATCTTGTGTTTACCGTTCCGTGCTGAAGTTTTACAATTAAGAATACTTAGTAATGTAAAGTGTAATGACAAAAATAAAAAGTCATGTCTGTTTTTCGAAAGATGTTGTAATATAAAAATGAAAAAAGTACAAAATGTCTCGGTTATTATGTAAATAAGCAAGTAAAGTAGCCCGTGTTAAAAACATAGGTAGATTATATTATATAAGAAATTGAAAAATAACGTCTTCATCTAAATATAGCTATACAAAAAAGTACTTTAAACGAAATTATTCTTTCATAAAACAATTCATATAGTTCAGAGAGAGAAAGAAGCAAGTCGTGATCGTTTCAAGTTGTTGTTTTGGATTATTTTAATTTCGCAATATATAGCATATTAATTTCTTAAAGAAAATATCATACCACTTTATGAGATAATTAATATTCTAAAGATTTTAATCTACTGTTATCGAAATATAAAAAACTTAAAGAATAGTAGTTAAGAGTAAACTTTTTACTCGAGTCTATCTCACTATGTGATCTATATATTAAAAACTGTTATTAATTGATACAACTTGATAGAATAGGTTATCTATAAATCAGTCTATCTTCCACAATGATTTGTATAACTAACCATCGATATTAATGTTTGATTCAAATATATTAAGATTAATTTTTTTCATCATATTAGTGAAAACATAAAAATGTCAATTATGAAATTTAAATTCATCTTCGGTGAAAAAGTCATTTATGTTGTAACTTATTTATCTCTATCCAAAATAATACAATATCTTAAGTCGATGTTAATAGAAATTTTATTAGCATTGCATTAATGACAAGATAAATCTAATATCCTTGCACTCTATTATAAGTTAGTTCTTCCAGTTCATTTTTATTTATTCTGCGTATATAAGATGTTTTTCATTATCATAAGATAATCTTTCACAGCTAAACAGATTAGATTTATTGCTGATAGAACAGCAACAAACTCTTTCTCTTGATTGCAAGTATTATACGTGAGCAAGTGCTTATAACAGATGTCCTTTTAAAAAAAACAATTGAATATCATAATCACTATATATTAGCAAAAAGATTATAAACTTTACATTTAATAGAGCTTTTTTTCCGATATTTATTGATTGCTATGCATTCATTTGTCGTGCAAATTTAGTGTGTCATGTTTTAATTAAACTTTTATTAACTTTATTGCTACTTTAAAGTTTACCGAACATTCTGTTTAACTTTTTGAATACTACCAAGTATTAGACAAATGTAATTCCTCACTAGAACATTTATCTCAATAAATTTCCATCAGCAAAGACAGGTTAAATATAGTACTTTATAATATATTTCATTACGAAAGATATATGTATACATATAATTATAACAACATTCAAAATAATGACTATCTAGAAAGTTAAACGACAATATAAATGAACTTGAAAAAAGACTCTCAAGGGTAGTATACGTTTGAATATATATTCATAAAAGTTCATTTTGAATAAATAATTAGTGTTTTCTTGAAATTGTAGCAATATTAGTACGTCGCTCTCTTTGTGTTATTTCAATAATTTCTGTTCGCGGATGAATTCTATTCGACACAGTTCTCATTATTGCCATAAATTCTTTACGAAATAAATTTGAACTAAGGCAATGAACATAAAAACTAACCTAAAATATAAAGAATTATAATTTAATTAAAACTTTTCTAAAAAAAGTCTTACTGCATATAAAAGACTTTGAAACCAACCAAAACCTGTCCAGATAATAAGTATGTCTAATGCATCCGTCAGTACATATATAGCAGCATTTCGTGGTGATACTATTTTATACAGACCCACGGGAAGTGATGTAATTAGGAAAATACAAACACTTCCAAACATAAGAATGAACATTTGTCTTTGAAGCATATTTTTTCGTTGTGCACTTTTATCTAAATCCCATGCTTGATTTTGTCGGGCCATTGCTTTTCTACGAAGATGAGTACTAATTAATATATCAATAATAAGTATCGTCATGATAGTTGCCGGTATTATACAAGTAGTGAAGATCTAAATCATAAAATAAAAAATCAATTATTTTCTATATTATAACTAAAATCACAGAGAATTAATGAAATGGACGATGAATACAAAAAAAACAAATAGTTCTTAACTAGTCATAGTATTCTCTACTAACCTGAATTATACTCCATTGCAAATAATAGAAGAAAAAATATGTTAGATTGTTAAAACTTGGTCCGCACGCTGCAATGGCTAAGCCAGGTATAAATCCTCCAAACAATGGTGTAAGCAAAGGAGCATTGAAAAGCATATCCACAACAAGCATGACACCAACAGTTAGTAAAGCTTTTTTTGGTGTACATAATGAACCGGATTTGAATGGAAATCGTGTTCGAATCCACCGATCAAGTGAGACTATTACTAATATCCATGCTGATGCTATTTGTGATACATACATAACAAATGAACGAAATCGACAAAAATCATTATATGATAGATGTTGATAAGAAACCTATGTTTTTGAAAATAAAATAAAACAAATTTACTATCTTTTTTATTTTTGATTCAAATTATTATTACTTTAAACCCAAATTCAAGATAATCTAATACACACATAAGTAAATACAATGTATCGGATATAGCCAAAACAATGAACAAACATCCGGTTGATAC